GCATGAGTGTTCTTTTTACTCTCACCATTGCTCAGTTAGGAAGACATTATTGATCTGATACAAAACGATTTTAGCTTGTTTTCTAGCTGAATAACTCAAAGGTTTTTTCAGTGATTCTTACGACAAATGTTGTCAAGATAGTTAAACATCTTATCTGAATATCTGAAAAAATTTACTTTTTTATTAGTTAATTATTTTTTTTAATTAAAGCAAATTTTATTTTTAAACCATTATCTTATTTATTTATTTTAAATTATATTTTTTGAAGATACGCCAAAATCTAAATGAATAATAAAGATAGCTTCCCATTTTTTTTATTAAAGATAATTAAAATTTTTTAGCCGAAAGAATTAAAGAATCAGAATAAATAATCATGAAAGAAAAATTAAATTAAAGTTCAAAAAAAAATAAATTTTTTTTAAGGTATGAATTTCTTCTTCAAATGGATTAAACTTAAAATAAAAATTTTTTATAAATTATTTAAAAATATTTTAAATTTGAATATTTCAGGAATTATCCATAAATTATTGCTTATATTCAATTCCAGTAGAATCCATTAATACATTAAATAAAAATTTGAAAAAAATTTGTCAAAATATAGTTTCTTCTTTACATTTATTTATTAAATGAAACAAAAACAATTTATTATAATTTATAATAAAAGGAGGCACTGTGGAGTAATGGATAGCCGCTCGGATTGAGGAATCAGAGAGCCGAGTTCGAATTCCAGTCGAATCCATTACATTCAAATACGTGCTAATACCCAATTTAAAGTTATGAATCCTCTTCTTCTCTCTTGATTTATTTATTAACACAAACAAAAAACAATTTATTATAATTTATAATAAAAGGAGGCACTGTGGAGTAATGGATAGTGGCTCGGATTGAGGAATCAGAGAGCTTCTGTTCGAATTCCAGTCAGATCCATTACATTCACTTACGTGCTAATAAAAATGAAAGGTATGAATCCTCTTCTTCTCTCTTGATTTATTTATTAACACAAAACAAAACAATTTATTATAATTTATAATAAAAAGGAGGCACTGTGGAGTAATGGATAGCCAGCTCAATGATTGAGGAATCAGAGAGCCGAGTTCGAATTCCAGTCGAATCCATACACATTCACTTACGTGCTAATACCCTTGGGAAAGAATTAGTCAATGAATCCTCTTCTTCTCTCTTGATTTATTTATTAACACAAACAAAACAATTTATTATAATTTATAATAAAAATCTAGGCACTGTGGAGTAATGGATAGTGGCTCGGATTGAAATGGAGAGAATCGAGTTCGAATTCAGTCGAATCCATTACATTCACTTACGTGCTAATACCCTTTTCTAAAGGTATGAATCCTCTTCTTCTCTTTGATTTATTTATTAATGCAAACAAAACAATTTATTATAATTTATAATAAAAAGGAGGCACACTGGATATTAATGGATAGTGGCTCGGATTTATGGAAAATAGAGAGCCGAGTTCGAATTCCAATCGAATCCATTACATTCAAAATGTGCTAATACCCTTGGGAAAGGTATGAATCCTCTTTTCTCTCTTGATTTATTTATTAACACAAACAAAAAAATTTATTATAATTTATAATAAAAATGAGGCACTGTGGAGTAATGGATAGTGGCTTAAATTTGAGGAATCAGAGAGCCGAGTTCTAAATTCCAGTCGAATCCATTTACATTCACTTACGTGCTAATACCCTTGGGGAAAGGTATGAAATCTTCTTCTCTTTGATTTATTTATTAACACAAACAAAACAATTTATTATAATTTATAATAAAAAAGGAGGCACTGTGGAGTAATGGATAGTGGCTCGGATTGAGGAATCAAATTTGCCAATATTCGAATTCCCATTCGAATAAATTACATTCACTTACGTGCTAATACCCTTTTTTAACGTATAACCTTCTTTTTTATCCCAGCTATCTATATTAAATAGTAGGACAGTCTGTGTTCTATAGCCTTGGGTAGCAACCTGTCTAGGAGAAAGTAACTCTGAATTAAAAAAAAAAAACAAAAAAACTGGCCTGAAGTGAGAGTTGGGGTACCTTGCCCAAGAAATACCACTTCTAAATTTTAACATTGATGGGTCACGTGTTTCGCGATCGCAAACAAATATCAGCCTTCAGGTTATTTTTTCTCGAAAAAAAAAAATTGTTTGTTTTCCGTATCCGAACAAAGTTTTATGCCAACAGTTTCTTCTCTCGCACTTCTCGCTGGTGAAACTCTCTTCCGGAAATCTTGCTTCTCGGTCAACTAAGATCTTCAAAAATTTAAATGCAATATCAATCGTTATCTTCTGTCTTCTTAATTCTTATTCCTTTATTGTCCTCTCTCCTTAATAGTAGTAGTTCTCATATTTTCTAACACTTAATAACCACTTGCGTCTTAGTGACTATATTGCCTTTGATCTTCAAAAATTTAAATGCAATGTCAAACGTTACCTTCTCTCTTCTTAATTCTTGTTCTTTTATTGTCCTCTCTCATTGATAGCGTTTTTCTCATATTCTCAATAACGTCTTGTATCCCCGTGGCTTTATTGCCTTACTTGGGGTGAAATGATTAAAAAAATCTTACATAGTTATAAGTCTACCATTTGCCCATGCATTAAGTATTGCTGTCACATCTGGTCGGCTGCATCTATTAAGTATTTAGAGATTCTTGTTAAAATCCAAAGAAGAATCTGCAATGTTAAAGGTCCTGACCTGTTATATTGGATTCAGTCCCTTTCTCAGCATGTAACGTGATTTTTCTAGAAATACTTCCATAGGAATTGTTCTAATAAACTTTCCTCTATGGTACCTAGACTTTATAAAATTTAAGCGTAGTACTAGATTGGCAGCTAGGTCTCATCATTTTATAGTTGAAATGGCTAGATGCAACCGTAAGTTCTATGCTAACATTTTCTTTTCTTGCACCTGAAATTCTCATTACCAATTAGGAGTACTGTCCTGGGTATGTTGATAAACTACATACGTGTCCAGGGTAAGACGATAAACTACGTCCAACAGCAAGGCCCCTGATCAGGAGGCTTTGAGGAGTGTGGAACCACATCTTAATTGCTATTGTTGCCAGTCTACCCTGACCCGGGGTGGTAGCACCTGTTAGGGTCCCAGCTATGGGAAAATAGTGAACTCCCAAACGAAGACAAAACACTATATATCTCATAGTAAAAATACTAACAATATATTTTCATATGAAATAATTACCAACAATAAATATTTATAGCAAACTTACTAACAATATCTATTTATAGCAAAATGACCAACATTTCGCGCGAAAGTGAATGCAACGAACTCGATTGGATTTTGAACTCAGACAACCAAATTTTCGTTCCGAACTGCTGACTATTGCACCATCTGCACATTTATTTTTTAATGAATTATTTCATTCATATTTTACGTGTCTCTGTATAAATAAGTGTATGGTTTGTCTTATGAGGCCATTTTTATGTTTTCAGATATTCAATAAATCAATTTATTCCTTATGTTTAACATATATTGTTTTCATTCACCTATGTCCCATAGACTTTTATGAAATAGCATTGCTAACCTCATGCTCAGCTGGTTTTGAATTCAGAGTTTTCCTTCTCGTAGACTGTTTGCCAACCAAGCCTGTATAGTACAGACTACCACATTGCCAGGGGTACAAAAGATGGTTTAATTCATTTCCCAAGTGTATTTGCAGGAAAGAGCATGTAATGAACTCCACTAGATATTTGAACTCAGCTAAATAGAGGAGAATAGGTTGCTTGACCCATGCATATATAAAGTCATTATTAAAAAGTTTTTATTATGTGAACAGTTATATGAACAGTTTTGTTATTATATGAACAATGCATATGCGTGCATGTTGACTTGTAATATCATTTTTATATTTTCTGATATATAATAAATTATTAACTTTTCAGGTTACATATACAGTGTAACCCGGATATAAAAGAGTTGTCGGGACCGGAGAAGAAGTCTCTTATATCCGGGTTTCTCTTATATCCTGGTTTGGTCTATTTTGTTTAGGTAACACAGGCTCTAATTTGGGACCAGAGAAAATCTCCCTTATATCCGGGTTTCTCTTATACCAGGGTCTCTTATATCCGGGTTACACTGTATATTATTAGAACTCATGCACTCAGGATTTGTAGACTGCACTAAAGAGTATGGGGCCATAGCTCACAACACGTTAACTGTTATTCACACTATTACAGACTACATTATTCAGACTGTTATCTTCATCTTCATTGCCATATTCATAACGTTTCAGCCTCCATATCTTTGAGATGAGGTATTATGATTACTTGCATTATTTACTTTATTCGGACTGTTATCCGCATCTTCATTTCCATATTCACAACATTTCGGCTGTCGTACGCTCCGGACTTCTTCAGATGATTGAAATTTCGAACCGAACCCTTTATTTCGGTTCCACGTGCCATGCCTCTTCTAGATGTGTCAGTTTCAGATATTTCCCTTTAACTCAATTCTCCAAGTTTTTTTTTTTGGTTCACCATTGCTGTAGCCTAGTATTGAACTCACAACTCTTTGGGTCTAGTGACTGGATATAACCAACGTCTTTATCCACTGGGCCATGTGTCCTTGAGGACAAAATGTTACTACTATGGTTTTTGTATCAAGTAGGGTTTACGGGATAATATTGTTAGCTCTATGCTAAACTGATTTTGAATTCATAATTGCCCTTCTCATTAGACTGGTTAGCAACCAAGTTTGATGATCCTTGTTCGTTTTACTATTTAACACTTAGATAGGGGTGAAAGAGACGGAGTCATTTCTTTCCCACAGGTATTTGCGCGAAAGTGAATGCAACGAACTCGACTGGATTTTGAACTCAGATCACCAAATTTTCGTTCCGAACTGCTGACTATTGCACCATCCACACATCTCTATTTTTTTTAATGATTTATTTCATTCTTATTTTAGGTTGCACCTACGCCGTTTCGATGTTGGATCAATTGTCTTTTGTCTACAATGAATCCATGAGTAAGGCAGCTGAACGGTTTTGTTCTTTCTTGCCCAACGATATGTTGGCGAAATTCTGCAAAGATCAAGTCCAAAAGTTTGTTCCGTGGCTGAATAATATGTGAGTGTACCTATTTTGTTCCATTAAATTCTTTTGCACTCTGACACAGTTCATTTTAATTTTATTTGTCTCATTTTATTTTGAGTAATAAAAAAAAAAAAATCTGCAGATCCTTGGAGTTACATCCCTTTTATTTGTCAGTGTATGACGTCTACCCTGACTATTCCGCATTCAAGCTCGATCCCCTCGGCTTATCGTTGAGTTGATCGCTTCGACCCAAGTCCTATCTCGCCCCATGTTGTGATTAATTGATAGCAAGACTGATTTGGTCCGAATGGTCGACTAGAAGAAGCGATGAATTCAGCTAAAATGAATATGTCAAATATATATATATATATATATATATATATATATATATATATATATATATATATATATATATAAAAAAAGTTCAAATTAAAATTAAATATTTTATTTTATGAAAGTATTTATTTATATATATTTGATATTTCAAATTGTCCTCAATTTTCATCAGAAATAACTGTTTGTTACAAAATAAATCTGATGAAAAAATTGAGGACAATTTGAAATATCAAATATATATATAAATAAATAAATACTTTCATAAAATAAAAACATTATAATTTTTAATTTGAAACTTTTTCTATATATACATATTAAGAAAGTATACGTGGCTTCTCATTATTATATATATATATATATATATATATATATATATATATATATATATAATATGATGGTACAGTCATTGATGGTTTTAAGCAGACTATACTCTCTATACAATAACTATCTACCCTTCGTGATTATCGTGACACACTGTTGTTATGATTTTGGAACGAGACTTCTGGATCAAGTCAGAGGGTTTTTCTTCAGGGCAGCAAGTCATATGATATCAGGCGAAGCGGAGGTATTCTGCTATCTCTGCAGTCTCTCTGCCATAGTCTGTCCGAAGGTGTCTCTCTCTCTCTCTCTCTCTCTCTCTCTGCTGTATTGTCTCGGCGTTCTGCTTTTATGGACTTATGCACAAGGGGGGCATGATGTACTCTGGGTACACCAGCGCTCCACAGACCATCAATCAGGGCTATCCCTGCAAATGTTCAAATTTGGAGGAGCCTTGGAATTCTACTTGGGTTTTTTCCTTGTTGCTTTGTGTGTGTACCTCTCACCATCACTCTCCGAGGGGTGTGGAAAGTCCTCCGCCTTCCCTGAAATTCCACCTAGGCCCTCTCCTCCTTGGTCACCTGACCAAACCTGTCCCCTAAGGGCTAGGCGGGGTTTAGCCCAACAGCCAAATTTTAATTATCGTTCAAAATTCTCTCTCGTCGTGCTTTTGTGTGTGTGTTTTTTTTCGCATTTGGAATTCATCCCCTCGTCAACCCTTTTGGTCAACAAGTGGTAAGAAGGGGATAATCCCTTGATCTGGGAAATATTATCGTGTTTCGGCAGTCCAAAAAATGAATTATCATTCTCTTGTCTATTTTTTGCTGGAAACCTGCCTGCTTCTAAAAGTTAATACTTATCAATCGACCGAAATCGTTGCATTGAGGTCCATCTTCCTCTTTGTCACACAATGGTAGTAAAAATCTTATCTATTTCTTACCGGGAGGTCGTTGGACCTCCAGAACAGTTCGTCACGTTGTCTCAGTTCTAATCAAAACCAGACTGTGTTTTGTTTGACCACTCCGGCTGACGAGAAATTTAATTAACTTCTATTTTTTTTTCCAATAGAAAAATATCCTTTTCTTTCATTTTCCTTCGTCTGGTCATCGGTATATCTTCAGTCTATCAGAATTTGTTTAACCACTCCGGCGGACGAGAAATTTAAGTAACCTCTATTTTTTTTTTCAATAGAAAAATATCCTTTTCTTTCATTTTCCTTCGTCTGGTCATCGGTATATCTTCAGTCTATCAGAATTTAGTGTTATTCAATTTACTAGCGCCTTTCTATTAGTGTTACAATTGGCGTAATGTACAAATCATTGAGTATTTTTTAATATCTCTCCAAGCAAGGTGATAAAAACCACTAGTACGCAAGGGGTTACTGAGAGTGAAAGAAACAGACAGGACAATGAGGCGAAGTGTCAAAAGAAGTTTTTCTCTTCACACCGCTATTATTTTAACTACCTCCACTCCTCAGCAATGTTTATTGTCTTAAAAAGTGATTATTAGAATTGTAATAAAACCTAAACATAAAATGAAAGTAAATTTATGCATTTTTTTCTATTGACAACAAAAATATTAAACAGTATTTATGAATTAGATTATTTACAAGAATAAGTTATATTTAAACATATTGTAGCGGACCGTGGGTTTTTACACGCGTTGTGATATGAAGACGTGTGGGACTCCTGAAATAAAGTCCACTGCAAATATGTCAGACTCGGAAAATGAGTCTACCAAAAAGAAAATGTAACAGAAAAGCAATAAGGAAACCGCAGGTTTTGAATTCAGAGTTGTCCTTCTCCCAGCCATCCAAGGCTATAGAACCCAGTCTGTCCTGCTATTTAGCCATAGCTGGAGGGAGAAGAGGATTCATAATTTTCCCCAAGAAAAAAATTCATACGTCCCCCCACCAAAAAAAAAAAAAATTTTAAATGCAATGTCAATCGGTATCTACTGTCCTCCTAATTACTTTTTATTCTATTTCTGCTTATTACTTATGAAACTTTTTTTAATTCCTGTAACCTCTTTCATGCTAATGGCTGTACTGCCTTGCTTGGTGTGACACCGATATTATATATATATATATATATATATATATATATATATATAGACCTATTGAGCCAGACAAACCTTTTTTCCCTGGCGATCCGTTTAGGTGAAACCTAGGTAGGTTTGTCTGGCTCACTAGGTTTATCTAGGTTGCTCTACGGTTGTATTGAGCTCTTTAGTTAGTTAGTTGTTTACTCGTATCGGAGTTTTTTCTTTGGGATTTGAACCTGTATATGTGCGATTTTTTTTTTCGACAAAAATGTTTCTAGCTCTTTCTTTTTTTAAAACTTTTTTTTCCTCGAGATTGATTTGATTATTGGCAAATCAAAAATTCGAGGGTTTTTCAAAAAGTATATAATATATATATATATATATATATATATATATTTATTTGGATAGATGTGAGTTTGTTTGGGGTTTCACGCTTTAGCGATCGTCAGGACGATCGCTAAAGCGTGAAACCCAGGGTCACAAACTCACGTCAATCGAGCCAAATATGTTAGCTCTATCTCTGATATTGAGCGCTTTCTAATAAGTACCGCGCATATAATATATAAATAATTATACATACATATTTATATTTATATAAATTCTATATATATATATATATATATATATATATATATATATATATATATATATATATATATATATAATATATAGAGTAATCGGAAACCGAGTTTCGAATTCCAGTCGAATCCATTACATTAACTTTAGGCTGAAAAGAATAGAGCCAGAAAGGAGTTTCACAAGCGAGAAAAGAAACTGTTAGCATTGAGGACTCGACTGTAAATTGGTGAGACCTCGTCCTTAATCTAGCAATGCACTTAAATTCAAAGAGTCTAATCCTCATAGCGAAGGGTTCAGTTGAACAAATACCATGAAAAGTATTCATAGAAACGTCATATAGAGGCATTCAGGACAAGAAATTGGTTCTAAAATCGGGTATTACTTTCCAAACAGCTTAATATTAACTGAAGATCATTTAATATTTTTCGCATTTCTTTCCAGGCATTTTTTGGGTGCTACTCCTGACCTGATATGCCAGACCTTACACTTCTGTACAAATAAAAAAGGAAAGTTTTGTTATCTGTTCCCACAGGTAAGATATATCTTTTTAAAGGAATTATTATATTTGGGTGAAAAAGTTTTTTTTTCATCTTCTTTGTTAGTTGAATTTAATAAGTCATGTCAAAAATATACTATACCAGGTGTAACAGCAAAATTTTACAAATCGTGTAACACCATGTCCATCCCACAAAATATTTAATATCTAAAAAAAAAAACCCACTAAACATTTAAACAGTAGTCATCCAAGGCTATAGAACCCCGCCTGTCCTACTATTTACCCATAACTGAGGGGAGAAAAAGAAGATTCATATTTTTCACGTAAGTGAATGTAATGGATTCGACTGGAATTCGAACTCGGCTCTCTGATTCCTCAATCCGAGCGGCTATCCATTACTCCACAGTGACTCCTTTTTATTAAAAATTATAATAAATTATTTTGTTTGTGTTAATAAATAAATCAGAAGCGGATTCATACCTTTCCCAAGGGTATTAGCACGTAAGTGAGTGTAATGGATTTGACTGGAATTCGAACTCGGCTCTCCGATTCTTCAATCCGAGACGCTATCCATTACTCCATCGTGCCTCCCAGATGTAGGGATTGGTGCTCGCACCGAGGTCAGCGCAAACGACGGTTGCAGACTGCGCCTCGACGAGCCAGGACTAACATCCCCAAGTCGCTTAGTCCAGAGCATTAGAAGCCTGTTCAAGAAAGGATATACAAATGATAGAAATTATTAGGAGGATTTGAGATAATTATAATTAAGTAATTCGTCGAGTCTAGAAAAAACCTCAACAGAATGCAGAAAGCACTAGACGGCCGTTTCGTCCTATATATATATATATATATATATATATATATGTGTGTGTGTGTCTTTGTAGTGTGTGTGTATGTGTAATGTCCTACGTTTAAAACAGATGAAGTATCTTTTAGTACGAATTTGTTCTCTGATCACATATTGAGGATGATGTTTAAGGAAAATAATTTTTACTTGTTTTTCAGAAAAGTAATCCAACAGATGAACTTCAAAAATATATTGAAATAAGAAAAATAATTTCCATTCGTGGTAACACACACACACATTTTCACACACACACACACACACATATATATATATATATATATATATATATATATATATATATAATCTTTACGAAAAAAAATTAAACTGGTATGGGTAGTCCCAAGGAGAGTGAAAAATCCTAATAGTTTTTTTTTTTAAAAAAAACAGACCATTTTAAGGCTCTATTGTAATAGTTTATTTCATAATAAAATTCTTTTAAATTGTTTTTATATATTATTTTGAATATTATCACTTCTTTCATTATTCACTTATTTTTTTTTCTCAAAACATACATATATATATGTGTATGAAAAATATATATATATATATATATATATATATATACATACATACAAATATATATATATGTATATATATATATATATATATATATATATATATATATATATATGTATATATATATATATATATATATATATATATATATATATATATATATATGTGTTAAAATATATAGGAAAAAAAAATAGGTAAATAATCCAAAGTTCTTTAGTATTTTTTGTTATTATTTTTAAAAATAGTGCTCGATACAAAAGTAAAGCATAAATATAATTATTTAAAAAATATGATTCCATCGCTACATAAGAGTTCTCATGTTTCAAAACAAGATCCGAAAAAACTCAATATAATTATTTGAATTAAATTGAATTAAAGTACCAAGCTCTGTTCCATCTTCAAGCGAAATTTTTTTTTTTTTTAACTAATTCCTGAAATTTACGCGTTTTATAAGCATATTCATTATTAAAATTAAAATTACTATGGTAACGGCTAGAGCAATTATTTTTTAAAAAAAAGGGGCGTAAGGGTTAATAATTTGTATCAATATCTCAGTTACATTCAAAGAGGTCAAGTCAGGGTAAGGTTGGGGTGTCGAAATTTAAAGCGGAAGAAGACATCGTCTAGTCCGGTTATGTTATAAAAATGCTACCATCAATTATATTTTTCAATTTTACTAACCAAAAGAAAAATATTTGAAAAAAAAATCATTTGGTATATACCCTCCGTTCAACCAAATGGTTAGTATTAATTTAGGACAGAAATTCTAGCTTTAACTTTGAAAAAACTTTTTAAATATAATAGTAACTTTAGTAAAATATTTTATAAAAAACATTCGAAAATTAAGTTACAGTTGCATTGAAAATCTAGAAAGTATAATAAAAACACGCAATAATAAATTCCTGAATAAACCCCCATGCCAAAATAGTATTAATAAAAACCCTACACTTAAATTAAACAAAAATAGGGAAAAATTATGTGATTGCAGAAACCCAGAAGACTGCCCATTGGAAAATAAATGCCGCATAAAATTTGTGGTTTACTAATGTACTATCTCATCGATTGAGAGTCCTAATAATAATATGATATACATTGGGTCTACGAAGAATGCATTTAAAACCAGATGGAGGCAGCATAAGTGCTCCTTCAACAATATAAATAAAAGAAATCAGAAATCTCTATCTTATTAATTTGGCATTTGAAGGAAATGAATAAAACACCAAAAGTAAAATGGAAAATTATAAACAAAACTAGAACTTGTAAAACTTGGGATTACATATATTACCCTTTATGCCTACATGAAAAACTCCACATTATCAAGTTTCTAAATAATAAAAATTCATTAAACAATAGACACGAATTAACAGTTTTTTGCCGAATCATCAAATTTTACCCTAACTTGACCTCTTTGAATGTAACTGAGATATTGATACAAATATGATGTCTAGTTGCTGTTTCTGTTATTTTTGGTGGACAACCACTTCTTGATTGTGATGCCATCATACTAATGGCCTTTCATTTATAAATAATTTGTTGCATAATGGAGAAATAAACTCCAAATCGCTTTGATAGCTTTTTGTAGCCTTTTCCATCATTATTGGTTTCAAATGTGTGATTTTTTAAAGCTTCAGGAAGTTCTTTTGATTGCTTTATATATATATATATATATATATATATATATATATATATATATATATATATATATATAATAATTATTAAGAAAATTTGATTTTTATAATTAAGTAATTCATTGAGTCTTTTTAACCTCAATAGAATGCAGAAAGCACTGGATGACCGTTTCGTCCTATATCTGGGACTCATCAGCAATTTTTTCCACTGCCGGGAATTGAAACCCGATTTTATTACGATATCAAATGTCATATCAACTCTACCAACGAGCCTCGCTTAACGAAGAGGTAACGAATTTTAAACGATTACTATATTTTGCTCGTTCATATAAATTCTTGGTGTAAAGTCATTCGAGTTTCCCTTAAAATATAAGACTGTGCCAAAATGATCTTCATTGCTAAAATCCCCTTAAGCATTATAGTTTTTTTCAAGCATTTATATATAATATATAGAAATTATTATGAGGATTTGAGATAATCATTTCCAATTAAGTAATTCATCGATCTAGAAGAAATAGTTTTAATGCAGAAAATATTCCGAAGACGGCCGTTTCATCCGATATTTGGGACTCAAAGATAGTACGCATCCACTACTGAGAATTGAAACCCTGACAGTTAAGTTGTCAAAAATCATATTAACCAACTGTTCCAAATAATTGATCAGTGACGAAGAGATTGCAAATCAGACTCAATATAGCGCCGCTCGATCACATATTCCGTGGAACTCAACTGAGATTTTCTAACCATAGGACTTTTATGCCCCCAGGAGCCACGATTACTATCACCAAGCCGCTAAGAACTTGAGCATTAGAAACCGGTTCAAGCAATGATATACAAATAATAGAAATTATTATTATGATAATTATAATTAAGTAATTCATCGAGTTTGAATATATATATATATATATAAAAATATTTAGTCTCTAACTGCATATTTTACCCCTAGCTGTAGGGAAAAGAAGAGGATTAATACCTTTCCCAAGGTTATTTGAGAATAGTGAATGTAATGGATTCGACTGGAATTGAACTTTTGGCTGTCTGATTTTTAGTAATCCGAACCATTATCCACTTCCGATTTTATATATATATATATATATATATATATATATATATATATATATATATATATATATATATATATATATATATATATATATATATATATATATATATATAAAAAAATTTCCCCCAAAATAGGCGAAATGCCAAAAAGATGCAAATGGCTACTGGGAGTGAAAAGAATGCAAAAAATTTTAATAGGAACCTGAAACCCAATAATTGTATAAGTTTCTTTTTTTTTCAAGAGACGTTAAAAGTGTAAATTTAAAATAGAATTTACAAGGAACCAGAAACCTAATCCTAAATAGAAAAGATTTGATTAGAACTACAAGGGACAGGAAGATGTGGAGGGCAATGATCGCCTACGTCCTGAAGGGACATTCCGCCTAAAAAGGACATGTAAAACTCTGGCTTAAATGCCTATAAAATAAGAATTAAAATAATTTTGTTAATTTATACATTGACACATATTTTATATATATATATATATATATAAAAAATATAGTTTTTTTAAGTGTTATATTTTTTCCCAAATTTGCTCAGTATCAGAGATAGAGCTTATGTAAATATAAAGTGAACATTGAAATCAATATTTAGAGGAAAATTAATATCATAAAATAACGCAATCGTCATTTATCTGACGATTGTTTCTTAAAATAAAAAAATCTCACCTTGAACGATTATTTTTTCTAGCATGAAAACAGCCTGTCCCCTCTAAGTAAATTGAATTAACATGTTCATTTTATATATATATATATATAGCTGGCCACTCGTATTCGAGGATACCCGTCTACTAGGGTGGCTAGTCAATCCCTATTGCAGACGCTTGCTCAGGAGTATTTGTGTTTGTTCAACACCCACTGAGCTCAGCTGTGGTTTATACTGGAACTATGCTGAGCAGACCTTAGTTACAATTTCTGGGAAAGAGCGTGTTATCTAGCGTGATCAACAATTTGAACAAGGCCAGCACGCTCAATCCCTCGGTCACGATGACTTGTGACTTCGTGCTAACACAGCTATCGACGGCCCCTAAGGGTTCCGTCTACCCAATTTCACTCACAAGGCTTGGGTCAACCCGTGGTATGGTTTTCAGGCACTTTCCAAAAGTGCCGCACGCTGGGATCGACCCTCCAGTCCGATAACATCAGGAAGTCTCCTTCCTGACAAATCGACCATGGTGAGATTCGAACCCGGGTCTCATGTTACTCACTAATGTTAATAATAATAATAATAATAATTATAATAAGGCATGTAACAATTTTAGAAATATAATTATAAATATACATAATTCTAATAATAACAAAAAAAGAAGAAAAATAAATATTTAATATTATTTTCTATATTTATTTTTCTGAAGAAATTTAAAAAGATCTTCGATGATCTTCAAAAAACTTTTCAAAATACAAAGACTTTAAAGCGGAATCTAAAAAAAAAAAACATCATGTCATTTTCAGTTTAATATTTATTTTTTTAATGGTCCAAGTTTTACCTTGTTTTAATGTGATGGTCCAAGGTTAAATCAATGAAAATATAAATTAATTTTTTGTTAGGTATGGAATAATTTTATTTATATTAAACAAAATATAATTTCAAAGTAGAAGTATAAAATAATGACTATCATATTTGGTTATAATGAACTATGTTGTTCGAAAATATCACTATTCCAATGTCCTTACAAATATTCAACTCTCAATTATCTCTCCTCGTTTTAATAATCTCCTCATTCCTCTTTCAGAGGAGCAAATTTATAATGTCAGAAATTTCCATTATTATTTTATTTTTAATCAAATTTTTAACAACCTAAAAAAGAAACAATGCAATTATTATTAAATATTATATTAAAATATTTTGCATGCAAGATTTCAACTAATCTAGCATCATTCCTTCATAGTCATATAAAACGAACTTTTCATATTGTCTATTATATATATAAAAATAAAAATTGAATATATTATAAGA